CCCCCCATTTATACCCTATCCAAAACCTTTATCCTCACCCTCCATCCCTCTCCACATTCACCCCTCCCCCCCTTAAACCGTACCTAACTCCAGTACCCCTCATCCCAAACCCCACCATCCCTCCCCCACTCCCTACTTAACTCCCATCCCCTAAATCTCAAAAGGTAGGCAATTCAATTAGTTTTTCCTGCATCTAATCCACCAAATTCAAGTGGCTGAGAGTATCTGTTGTTAAAAGATTTTGAGAGCGTGAGAGCGTGAAGGGGAGGACAGTGTTTTGTAAAAACAGAGGTCTCCGCGAGATCAGCTGTGTGCTAACATTGTGGAGTCCAGAGTGTTGCCGTTTGAGAGGGGACAACTACGTGACCAAACTACTTACGTCAAGCAAAAGAGAAGCTTTCAATTAATTGCTACTTTTAATAAACTGGGATTTACGAAACGCATGCATGAGCTTTTACTCTTAAACCTGCTACATTACTGAATTCACGGCCCTGGCAGTGAAGTGTAAGAGTATAATATTGTACAGTGGGTTTTTTCTAAATTATCTCCCTTTGACCATGTTTCACATAATTCTTTTTGTGGTTTGTATCACCCCCCCCCCCCCAAACACCTGCTATCTTTATTTGACTGTCTCACAATTGGTTGCATTTAAGCACAAGGGGGCAGTCCCGAAAAATGCTGTTTTGAGTTTTTATCTCTTGTTCAGTTTCTTTAAAAGACAAGGACAGATTTCTCTATAACCAAACAAATATTATACACACCGATTAAACCAAGCTTCTCTTATAGGAAGAGCAAAGCCCACTTTTGGTGTAGGTCAAGATTTCTGGGAACCCCCCGAAATCTGGGTTAGCCCCCTTGTCCTTAAAAGTGAATAAAAGTGACCAAAAGTATAACATAGAGTATTAATATCATATCTTCTAAGACAAAAACAAATAGCTCAGACAAAATACTTTTTTGACAGTGTCTTGTATTTTCAAAGAAAATAATAGTATTGCAAAAAAGGAAACAGTGGGTATCCATGAGGCATCTGGCTGTTCAAGTACACAACTCGTGCCCGCGAGTCGTTTTCTGGGTCATGTGACAACACAGTTTTTCGTGACGCTGTCTTGTGAAGTCAAGTCCTCATTATGTCCCTTTGTAACTTCCAGGTGATGTCAAATTATATCTGACGGGGCTGCTAAATCTCTCTCTCTCTCTCTCTCTCTCTCTCTCTTTCTCTCTCTCTCTCTCTCTCTCTCTCTCTCGTTTCCAACCGACGAATAATGAAATCATTCTGGAAGTGTGCGATGTCTTCAGATAGCAATTTCCACAGCTTCATGTGCGAGTTTTCTTTTCCTTTTCCTTTTTCTTTTTAAAATCTGAAATAGCAAAAAGTTTATTGGTGAAACGTGCTGTCAAAATTAGTAACTTATTGGAATCGAGCCCTGTGGAAATAGATACACCACACTTATAGGTTTTTAAAATACATAAGTATGAAATAATAACAGGCACATTACACGTAAAACATATTATGGCATCAATAGAACATCTACAAATTTGACCCTAGTGTTGATTTTTCCCCCAATACATATCCCCATTTGTGGAATGCGAGAAGTAACTCATTTTGTCCGCACGGCTCACATTTTAGGAGTTTCCCTATCAGCCTTTTAAAAGACGTGCCGTTTTTGACCGACTTCTTCGCTCTGTCTGTCTGTACATTGATTTCTTCCACGTTTGTTTAATTCTTAGTTATGTTGTGTTTTTAGTAAGTGCTCCTTCTTTCCTATCAAACGTCTGTCGTCCTTATCTCCCCTTCTTCTTTTTATGTTTGTTACTCTCTTGTAACACCTCTATTCTTC